GAAGGATCACTGGAGCCCAGCAGGTCAAGGCTGTGGTGGCCAGGAGCATGCCACTGCACTGCAGTCTGGGTGACAGAGTGAGACTCCAACTTAAAAAAAAAAAAAAGAGCTGTTACTAGAGCTCAAGTTTGTCATGCAGGTAACTTCTCTACTTTACCAGTATAGGCTGGACATGATGTCTCCCATTTTGTAGGTCACCAGGGGTGCCCAGTGTACCTAGTCCCTGAGAAGCACCGACTCTGGAATAGGAATGAAGTACCCAGATAACTAACAAAAGGCAAAATGTGATTATAAAGAAAACAAAAGGCTCTGGGAAATAAGGTAGGAAGAGGACTCACTTTTGGCTTAGTAGGGCCCGGGACCTCTCCATAGATGAGGTGATACTTGAACTACCCTTGAAGGATGATTTAAAGGAGAAAGGCCCTGCAGGCAGGGAGAGTCAAAGGAGTTAGGAACAGGAGTTGAAACACATAGGTTGGGCTTGAGAGGAGGAAAATGAGCATCCTGTTGGGGGCCCTGGGCAGGTGCTCTTGTGCTGTGCTGAGGAGCCCGGAGGTCTGATTGTGAGATCAAAAGGGGGCTCTAGCTTGGCTGGGAATGAACCAGTATGTGGAGGCGACAGAGTTGATGGTTAGAGCAAGGCCTCTTTCTCTCCCCAATAAGTAGTTTAAGGAGCAAAGAAAGGCCTTTGTGCTTTACATGGCCGAGTCGTAAACATACCAAATTTGTTACTCTGTGAGATGGTAGAGGCTGCAAAGAGGAAGTCCTGTCACAGCCTCATGACAATTCATTATTCAGGAGTGATGAGGGGCCCCATCTGTGACCCATATGTGAGGAATACTGTTTTTCAATTATGCAAAACTCCATTTGGGTTGCAAACCTAGGGGAAAGGCCAGCCCAGCTGTGATTCTCACCTTCTCCTGACCCTGCTTTTCCCATTTTGGTGTATTTCCTTCCAAGCTTGGTCTGTACGTGTGATTCTCTTTGGGGCTGAACTTGTGGAAAACACATTACCTATGTATCTGTGCACTTAAGTCATTCACACAGCATAAGTTAAGTGTCTTTTTGGGGGTCCTGGCATATCTGTCACCTTGCTCACCTTTTTGAGCATTCCCTTGAACAGCTTCCTCTTATTGATCTGGCCAATCCCCAGATGTTAGATGGGTCTCCCTTTTGGTGTGATGCTTCCAAATGACAGAGAGGTCATCCCAGCCTTGTCCCTGGGTACCAGTTGCAGAGGAGGCTTAGGCTGCTGGGGAAGCAGCTCCAGAGTGGTCACTCAGGAAAGTTGGGGGCACGTTGGAGATTTAAATGGCTTCTCCTGGCTGGGTGCAGTGACTTACGCCTGTAGTCCCAGTACTTTGGGAGGCCGAGGTGAAAGGATTGCCCGAGCCCACGAATTTGGGAGGCCGAGGTGAAAGGATTGCCTGAGCCCACGAGCCTGGGCAATTTGGCGAGACCTCATCTCTACAATAAATCAAAAAATTAGCTGGGTGTGGTGGCGAGTGCCTGTAGTTCCGCTACATGGAAGGCTGAGGTGAAAGGATCGCCGGAGCCCAGCGGGTCGATTGATGCTGTATTGGCCATGAGCATGCCACTGCCCTCCAGCTTGGTAGCCTGGGCAACAGAGTGAGACTCCAACTCAAAAAAATAAAATAAGCCGGACTCGGTCGCTCACCCTGTAATCCCTTGCCTTTGGGAGGCTGAGGTGAGTGAATTGCCTGAGCCCGCGGGTTCAAGACCCGCCTGGGCAACTTGGTGAGACCTCATCTCTACAATGAGTCAAAAAAATTAGCCAGGTGTGGTAGCGCGTGCCTGTAGTTCCAGCTACTTGGAAGGCTGAGGTGTAAGGATCGCCGGAACCCAGCAGGTTGAGGCTGCAGTGGCTGGGAGTAGCCACTGCACTCCAGTCTGGATGACAGAGTGAGACTCCAACTCAAAAAATAAAATAAAATAAAATAAAGGGCTTCTCAGCTGGGCTCGGTGGCTCAGCCTGTAATCCCAGCACTTTGGGAGGCTGAGGTGAGTGGATTGCCTGAGCCCACGGGTTCGAGACCCTCCTGGGCAACTTGGCGAGACCTCATCTCTACAATAAATCAAAAATTAGCTGGGTGTGGTAGCGCCTGTAGTTCCAGCTACTTGGAAGGCTGAGGCGGAAGGATCGCCGGAGCTCAGCAGGTCGTCTCTGCTGGGGGCTGCATTAAGTCTACGGTTATGCACAAAAGCAAGGGCTTGGGGAGGAATATGTCAGTTCAATTTTATTCGTTCATATTAGTGGTATGTGCTCAGCTGGGGGATGTAGTAGTACGTGAACAGGAGGAATCCCTTTCCTCATGGAGCTCATGACCCAGTGAGGAAGATGGCATTAATGGAGACCATACAGTGATAGAGTAATCACTTAAACATGTAAAATGGTAGCTGGCTACACATGGGGTATCCAGGGGCTGTGAAGCCTGTTGAGTAGAGATTAGATCTGGTTGGGGAGGTTAGATGAGGGTTTCGGAGGAGGGGATGCTGCAATGACGATGTGGGGAAGGGAGAGGGAGATGCGCTAAAAGTCCTCTCCTGCCACCTCAGACAACATCTTAGCCCCTTACAGGTGCAAATCACAACCTTTCTCAAGACCCTTCTGTGACCTTCTTAACCAGAAGGCCAAGCTCAAACTTCATCTCCCACATACTTCGCTGTATCTTCCGTACTGCATGTTACCTTACTCTATCTTGTGCCAGCCAGACTCACTTATGTTCTGTTGCATATAACTTGTGTGGTTTTGTTCAGATTATAAAATTAATGCATGTTCATTATAGAATACAAAAATATCCAAAGCAGGGGAAGAGCATATCCTCATTATCATATAGCCCAGGGATATAATTACTGTTCATTTTGGTTCATTTTCTTGCTTTTTTATTTTAAACTTTTAAATTATTTTATTTTAAAATTTTGGGGTACAATTCAGGATTAGGTTTACAAATATTCATTGTACAGTTACCCTTATTGACGAGGTGTGGCCCCTCCTTCTTGGTTCATTTTCTTTCTAATGCATAGTCTTTTTTTTTCTTCTAAACATATGTGAGTTTTTTTTTTTGTTTGTTTTTTGAGTCGGAGTCTTACTCTGTCGCCCAGACTGGAGTGCAGTGGCATGCTCACAGCCACCGCAGCCTCAACTTGCTAAGCTCAGGTGATCCTTCTGTCTCAGTCTTCCAAGTAGCTGGAACCACAGGTGCACACCACCATGCCCAGCTAATTTTTTGATTTGTTGTAGAGATGAGGTCTTGCCAAGTTGCCCAGGCTGGTCTCGAACCCCTGAGCTCAGGCAATCTTCTCGCCCCTGCCTCCCAAAGTGGTGGGATTACAGGTGTGAGTCACCGCGCCTGGCTCAGCTGAATTTTTAAATTGGAATTTCATTAAAAATCTTTTAGGCTGGGCTTGGTAGCTCAGCCTGTAATCCCAGCACTTTGGGAGGCCGAGGTGAGTGGATTGCCTGAGTCCGTGGGTTCAAGACCAGCCCAGGCAACCTGGTGAGACCTCGTCTCTACAATAAAATAAAAAATAGCAGGCATGGTAGCGTGCATCTGTAGTTCTGGCTACTTGAAAGGCTGAGGCGGAAGGATCGCAGGAGCCCAGAAGGTTGACGCTGGGGTGGCCGTGAGCGTGTGTCCCACTGCACTCCAGCCTGGGTGAAGGAGTGAGACTTGAAAAAAAAAAATCTTTTAAGCCAGGTGTGGTGACTCGCATCTGAAATCCCTGCACTTTGGGAGGCCAAGGCGAGAAGATTGCCTGAGCCCAAGGCTTCGAGACCAGCCTGGGCAACTTGGCAAGACCTAGTCTCTACAATAAATTAAAAAATTAGCCAAGCGTGATGGCATGTGCCTATAGTTTCAGCTACTTGGAAGGCTGAGGCAGAAGGATCACCTGAACTTATTAGATCGAGGCTGCAGTGTCCATGTGCATGCTGCTGCACTCCAGCCTGGGCAACAGAGTGAGACTCCTGCTCGAGAAAAAAAAGATACAGTAATGAACAAATACCCCCAGTGTGAGTCACTGAACAATTAAGGCCTTTGTGCCATCAAAGCCTGCTGGCCCTCTGGCTTGGGTGGCGTTGCACTGCCTGTTCCTGAGCCCCCACCCATACCACCCACTTGATGGAGTCTTGTTTGCTTTGAGCAGCTAGTCGCTTGTTTTCACTGGCTTCCAAGCCTTTATTTTTTATTTTATTTATTTATTTATTTTGAATTGAATTCTCACTCTGTCATCCAGACTGGAGTGCAGTGGCATGCTCCCAACCACCGCAGCCTCGACCTGCTGGGCTCCAGTGATCCTTCCACCTCAGCCTTCCAAGTAGCTGGAACCACAGGCAGGCCCGGCTAATTTATTTTAGAGATGAGGTCTTGCCAAGTTGCCCGGCTGGGTTTTGAACCCCTGGGCTCAGGCAATCCTCTTGCCTCGCCTTCCCTAAGTGCTGGGATTACAGGCTGAGTCACCGAGCCCAACCAACTTCCAAGCTTTAAATATGTCTTCTGCCCGGTGTGGCAGCTCACACCTGTAATCCCAACACTTTGGGAGGCAGAGGTGAGAGGATTGTCTGAGCCAGGGGTTTGATACCAGCCTGGGCAATTTGGTGAGACAATAATAAATGAAAAAATTAGCTGGGTGTAATGGCACACATCTGTAGTTCCAGCTACTTTGAAGGCTGAACCCAGGAGGTCAAGGCTGTGGTAGCCATGATTCATGATTGTATGATTGCATTCCAGCCAGGGTGACAAAGTGAGACTCCAACTAAAAAAAAAAAAAGCCTTATTTTAACACTCATTACAGAGGAATTGTCTTCATAGCTGTCTCCTACTATAGACTGTGAACCTGTCTGATTCTCCTTTTTTAAGCCTGGTGTATGGGAGGTACATCATAACCTTCAAGGGATAAGGTGGGTGCTAAGCTTTCTCCTGCCTTAGTTGTTCATGACTCTCAAACGCCTAAGGTCCTGTTCTTTGGTCCCTGGCAGCTAAAGATGTGATTAAGGAGATTGAAGACTTTGACAGCTTGGAAGCTCTGCGCCTGGAGGGCAACACAGTGGGCGTGGAAGCAGCCAAGGTCATCGCCAAGGCCTTAGAGAAGAAGTCTGAGTTGAAGGTGAGATCTGCTGGGTGAGCAGGCCCAGGGCAATTTGGACAAGCTTCCATTTATTGCCACAACCCCTGCCTTTGTCTAGCCCTTCCTAGGCCCCTGCCTGGTTAGTTGTCACCAGAACAGCTTTTCTTCCTCTGCCCTCCCCAGAGCACACAGCACTGGCCAGGACCCCTCTCCCTGCAGTCAGCAGACCCTGAGAGGGTATTAGGAGCACGGGATGATTTTATGGGTAACACCTGTGAAAGATAAGGGGGGGGGAACCTTCTGCTCATGATGCTGACATCTTTCTATGAGAGGGAAGGATGCAGAATTAGCCAACAAGAACCTCTGCCTGTGAAGCTGTTCTGACAAACCTGCCTTGCCAAGAGCTCCAGAGCAGAGATTACCCATTAAAGGAGTCTTGTATTGGACACAAGTGGCCAGGGTTTAGCTCAGATCCTGCAGTTATTAGGAAGTGCTGCGGCCAGAGACTGCCAGCTACCTGTACTCCTTACAGCTGAGGCAAGCTGTTTCTTTTTTTTTTTTTGAGTTGGAGTCTCACTCTGTCGCCCAGACTGGAGTGCAGTGGCCGCTCCTGGCCACCGCAGCCTCGACCTGCTGGGCTCCGGCAATCCTTCCGCCTCAGCCTTCCAAGTAGCCGGAATTACAGGCATGCGCTACTACGCCCGGCTGATTTTTTTGATTTATTGTAGAGATGAGATCTTGCTGCCCAGG